ATGGCGTGCCGCTGCCTTAACTCCGCTACCTTACCTACTTCTGTTTTTGGGATGTATTCCGGACCGTTCAGTCCGATGATTTAAGACTATGCCTGCGGGCTTATGATGTAATGATTCGTACTAGACACTCATGTATGTGCACATGGTATTTCAGCTAAGAATTCGTGTGTACCAGACTACTTAATCCAGGGAAATGGTACTGTTTACACGATTGATTCCTGTTATAAAAACGGGGGTCCACAATGTCCTTCAGTATTCCCAAAAGTTCTATAAAACTCTTGTCTGTCCATCCACTACTAGCCTTCAGCTTCATTAGGTCCAAGGTTGCTGACAATTTGGTATGTTTTGGCTTGCATCCGGCGTATAGAGGAGTCTCCAAGTCACTGACCAACATGCTGAACTTCATGGAATCTCACTCGTTCATAGCTGGGTCATCAACGTCACGTAACATATCTTGCAGCAAATTAGGGTCCACATCAACCATTTCACCGTCCAATGGAGATGAGACAAACATGTCATGCTCATATTTGTCTCCTTCTTCATGATTGTCAGCACCACTTCCGTCTGCCCCTGCACCATCAATTCCCAGATGTTGCTCTCCATGCTTCACCCAACATGTGTATCTCTCCATGAATTCCCAGCGTATCAAGTGAGCATGTACTTCCTATTTGTCTTCATACAAAATCTCATTTTTGCAATCCCTACATGCACAACACATGTACTTGTTGTTTCTTCTACTGCTATACTCCTCCGCGGCATTCATAAAACTTAATACGCCATCTCTATACTCCTTATACTAACGCTTCAAAGAAGTCGTATACATCCAACTTCGATCCATCGCTGAAAAATGAACAAAATATTACTTAACATCTTATAAGATAAGTACTACTAAATTAATAAGAAATGATTAGTACCCTTTTACTTACTTTTATGATTTTCCGGTTCTTCTTTGGAAAAAAAATACAAAAAATCGCCCCCTTCATGAACAGTGGGAGATAAGTACAGACAACAGACTGGTGGAGTATATATAGTGTGCAAAATATATCTCAATCGGGCCAAAAATACGACATCTCTAACGGGCATAAATAGAAGCCTGACACCGATAAGAGTCATCGGTGATGGGCATTAAAGCCATCTCAATCGAGCCTTTTTTGGTGCCCGTCACCGATGACGCTCATCGCTGACGGGCCTAGTAGTTAGGCCCGATTGAGATATATATAGGTTTGTAATCTCAATCGGCTCTAACTGTGAGTCCGTCACTGATGAGTATCATCTATGATGGGCTATAGGTATATGCACCTCGATGATATCTGTACCAGTACATCTACAACAGTTTAATTTAGGCCCGATTGAGATGACTTCGTTCTGACGGCCTACGTTGCCCAGGCATGTGACGGGCCGTCACAGATGAGAGGATATGTACAAGTGAGCATTAGTAATTAATTATCTGTTATTATTTCTTCAATCAGAATAATTATCAATTAAGTAACAACCTAAAAAAAGTAACAATAATTAATAATTAATTGAGTCATCAGCTTCTTATCAGGCACCCAGATCGCTACGCGCGCAGCCAAGCGAACTCGCGCACGCGCGGCAGAGAGTTCACGTTGTTGACACTGATTTTTGAACATGTATATTCGTTTAAAATCAGTGTGAAAAACATATGAATTTTATTTTTTATTTGTCGTACGAATGGTTGTCGACGTCTCTACGTGCCTCGCTCCACACCTTGTCTCTAATATGTCTTTTCGTCTGCCAGTCGCACACATACATCTATCGATATACAGCACCCCAATGCAATTTGATTGACCAAACTACCAAATAACCTTAACATTAATTAGCTAGTAATTTCACTTAGCTGCAGCGTAAAAGATAGTTCATATAAAACTGCAATATGGTTACCTATAAATGTTACTGATCATATCATAGGCTTACTGTGAATTCACAGAGTATATAGCTTAGCTAGTCCATCGGATATAATTCTAAAATTTGACAGGATAATCGTATTTACGGTTAATTATTTCTTAAGTAGTGGATGATATGCCCCGTTAACATTGAGGCGTTAGTGGTAATGTTCTTATTCTCAAGATATAATGGCGCATGTAAATTTGACATTTTTATTGCTACCACAGAAAATTCAGAAAAATGATTTTTTATGACTTGCTAGAAATCAGATGGCCAAGGAGAAAGAACTCATACCTCCCGACATGCAAAACAATATAGGATAGGTTAGCGCATCATTAATTATGTTACACTTAAAATTTATTTTCAATATGGCAAGAACACTATAATAAAGATGAGTAAGCTATCCTATATGCTATTTATAATCAAGAAAAATTAAATTACTCCACGAAATGAACCGATGGTGGCAATAAAAAAAGAGCAGAAGGATGCCAATATGTCAGCTCTCGAGATGGAGGATGCTGATGGTGAGTGAGAACTGTCAGGAGGAATTACAAGAGAGTTATGAGAAAATAAATGGGATTAACCATGGTCAATTGTCTAACTGTTGGTAGTGGCATTTTCTACTAAAAAGTTGCTTTGATGGTAGAGTTTGTATTGCTAGCTGTTTCAAACATATGCATGCATGCGGTGACATATAGGACAGGAGGAATGGAACTAATGGTTGCTACTGACATTTGACATTAATCTATTGGCTGAAATAAATAAGATGATATGGTTGTCTAGAATCACAGCTTATGGGGACAACTATATATAGGAATAGTAAATTGATTTGATTAGAAAATTTGAACGGTTTGCTACCAATAAATACCATTATAAAACACCTAAAAAATAAAAGGAAAAATGACATTATGACAAGTTCCACGCTACAGCGAGATACAAAGACACGCAAGCAATCATCGTCTTTACTCATCGCTGTGGCAATACTTGGCCCACGAGAATGAGCCTCTAAAAGCAAATACTCTCAAAATAAACGACACGCGTGCGTGCCCCCGTTGCCACGATCCAATGAGCAGGTTGAGGAGCAAATTTTTGTATAGCTTCATAGAATGCCTTCAAAGAAATATTCCCAGGTAATCAGCTACTTCCTATTTCATATTATAATATTTTCTAGTATTGTATGAATGTAGTTAATACTAGAAAGTCTTATAACTTGAAACGGAGGTAGTAGCTAGCAAAGTGACACTAGTCAAAGTTCCACAAACAAGACGACTTGTCATTGCAGTAGTTTTGTTAAGTTGAAAGTCCTCAGGCTACTTTTTTTTTCTCTCTCTTATATGGGTTTAGATACAGTACAAACGTGGTTTTTACAACCGACCATAAGGAGTTATTATGCGCGGTCAGCCACCCACCTAGACACACACACTTGTGAAGATAGCGATTCTCATAGACTGGTATCATCAATTTTCATGTGTGTTATTTTTTACATAACTGTTTGCAAAAATCGAGTTTCGCAAGCCGTCTACTAAGAGGACCACATGCAAAAATCAATTTTCGCATCTAGACTATGTTAAGATGATAAACAATCCTAGTTACTTTTGGTAAAAAAATAATTTATAGAAAGCCCTGCCACTCTGTAGCAAAATTGACATCTAGATCCACGTCAAAAACAGACCTAAAACATCTAGAGATTCACCCATACCCAACGATCGCAAATTAAACAAGAGCATCAACTTTATCACAAACAATCTTATCCATATCACAGCGGAAGCAGAAAATTATCCAAATCCATGGCACCGCCGACCTTGCCGATCTCGTCCCTAATCTCCCCGCTGACAGATCCGCACCTACCGAGGTCAGCAGCAATGAATTCGCCGCCACTCTCGTCGTCACAATAGGTCACATAAGTTGATTGTGGAGAATACCACCACTCCCGTAGCCTCTAGCGGCAAATCCACCCTTCCCGAGGCTGGAAGTGGCAGATCCACCGCTCCTAAGGCCATCGACATCGTCATCGCCGCTCCCATAGCCTCTGATGGCTGATCATCCCCTCCTAAGTCCAACAATGGTGGATCCGCCGCTCCCAAGGCCTCAAACGGTGGATCCACTCCTCCTGGGCCGACGGTGATCTACCGCTCCTAGGGCAGCCGTTGCATCATCGCTGCAGCTCCGGAGGCCTTTGGCGGAAGATCCACACCTCCCAAGGTGGGTAGCACCAGATCCCTTGGTCTTGTAGCCTCTGCCGCTCCCATTTGCCACCGCCATCGCTGCTCCCCACTATTGTCGCTGAAGCTAGATTCGGACAACACACACCACTGTGCACATTGGCCGGATCCAATGAGGGGAGGGGAAGGAGGTTGTGCGCGGCAAGCTCAAGGAAGCAGTGAGGGTAGAGAGGGAGGGTGAGTAGAGAGGACAGCGCTGAGGGGAGGGCGCTTCTCCAGGCATGCCTATTTTTTCAATTGGTTCTACTATGTCTGAATGTGAAATTATAATTCTCACTGGCCTGCGAAGATAGTTTTTCTAAAGTGGTATCACTCTTTAATATGAACAGGTCAATTTACTTAATGAATATTTTATTGTTTCAAGAGAATTCACTGGTGCAGTTCGATAGAACAGTCGACAGACTCAAAGTCCAAATTGGCTGCGATGGATAGAGACCTCAATCTTATCCTTGCATATTCGTGGATCATTTATGACCGTTGAATAAAAAAAGTTGATTTTTGAAATAAAAAATTCAATACTAATCAATACTATGTTTGTTCTTTATATAGTTGGTACCCACCAATACTCAAAAACTTAACATGTAAATATATTACATCATCATCCACTAAACAAGTGTTCCAGATCGTATCTTCTTATGCAAACATAACACTTGGTCACCAAGTTATTATATTCTAGAGCTCAGAATCAGTATACAAGTATATCAAATCCTCATCCCTATATCGTTTTTATAATATTTCAAGATATGCCCATCCAAGATTTTTATAATATTTGTATTCATTTATCATACATTATGCAGCAAAACACGAGATATCACATATTTGTCAAACATGAAACCGACCCAGAGTAATCTTAATTAATAAGCCCAGTCTTCATGACTTCAAGATAAGCCAGTACACAGAAGAGATTTGTTAATATAAACTGGTACAAGTGGTGGAGAGAGCTTGTTATTGTCATGCTCCACATTGCATGGTGACAGGTATAGTGATTTAGGGTTTCTAGCAAAGCACTTGTAGAAAAATGAAGATCAAGCTTGATTTCCACATGATTAAGGGGGATGGTGACTCAAGCTACGCAAAGAACTCTAGTACCCAGGTTTGTACCAATGAATCCTTTCTCCCCGCTAAATTTAATTTTGGCATGCCTTCTATTATTTTTTACTTTTGTTGAACAACACTCATCACATGCTCTGGGTATATATATGAGCCTATATTGGGATGTTTTATGACTATCAGATACACAATGCACTGGGTGTGGCACAATAATTCTAATGTTTAATTTTCACTGTTATTTTTTGTTTATGGATAAGCTAGTACTAACAATATTTACACTTGCTCTTGATATTAAGGAGTACTAGCTTATTGAACTAACACTGTATTAATATGGTCATGCGTGCATGTATACTAGGGAAAAGCCATTCTTTCAACCAAACCAATGGTTGAGAAAGCCACGAAAGAAATATGCATGGATCTTCAACCTCGGTCAATGGTCGTAGCTGACCTAGGATGCTCCTCTGGTGCAAACACGCTCCTCTTTATCTCTGAGGTCATTGCTATCATAAGTGAAGAAACCCCTGCTAACAACAACAATAGGGAGTGCCCCATGGAGGTCCAATTCTTCCTCAATGACCTACCCAACAATGATTTGAACCACAATTTCCAGTTGCTAGAGCAATTCAAGCAGTCAATAGTGCGAGATTGTGCTCGCAGAGGGCTACAACATCCTCCATACTACGTTGCTGGCGTGCCAGGATCTTTCTACACCAGGCTCTTCCCTTGCAATAGTGTCCATATCTTCCACTCATCCTTCAGCCTCATGTGGCTCTCTCAGGTGGATGACCGTATTTATTTGTTCACTTATGGCATCTCCTGTAGTTGCGTTTGTTAGTATATTCTCATATATATACAAAATTCTGACATTTGATCTTTTTATTATCTAGACTTGACTAGCAATTTCTGTTTTTACAGGTCCCAGATCTTCTTGGTAGCAGCATGAACAAAGGGAACATTTACAGTGATTTTGCCTCCCATTATCTTTTTACAGACCACAAAATCACTTACTAAAGATTTTTGATTTAGAATAAAAAAATATTTCATGATTCTTTTATTATCTTACACAATAGGGTCGTGTGGAGAAGGAGAAGCTGGACTCTTTCAACCGACCAATGTACGGCCCTTCTGTGGATGAGCTGAAGCAGCTGGTACAAGAGAGCCAGTTGTTCGACATCATAGACATCCGGGCCTTTGATTTAACTTTTGATCCCATAGACAAATTGGAGTTGGAAGAGAGCGCCACCGCTACAACAGGGAGACCATATAGTGTTCATGAGGCTATCGATAACAACCACACCACAACTTTAAGAGCGGTGACGGAGACCCTATTGGCAAGCCATTTTGGGGAGTCTATAATGGATGATCTCTTCACGCTCTTTGCATGTAATGTCACGCGGCATCTTGAGAGCTGTGCGTGGGAGGAGAGCAGCATTATGGCCATTTCTGTGTCACTGGACACAAAAGTGCGAGGATGATAGCCAATTAGGAACATAAGAACTGGTTGAGAATTTAGATATGGTCTCGGTAGCCCAACCAGATCAGTTCAACCTGTTGTCTACATGACAGTACTGAGTCTTGATCCAGCAAGTGTCTCCTCCAAGCTTAGGGCTAGTCCGAACCAGCACTGTTCACCCTCAGAAAACATGATGGATTATTAGCACATGATTATGTATTAAATATTATAAATTATAAAAAAATAAAATTTATTTACAGTTGAGTAGTTTAGTAACTGTGCTAATATATAGAAAATGAGGAATTTGCCGTTTGGAGTTACTGAGAACAGTTGAGCCATCGTTAATTACTTTCTTAGCATTTTCCTCGAGCTATTGCGTTCGCAGAAACGGAAGTTGCAAATTATACACTACTATGTTCGTTCGGTACGTACCGTTTAGTAGTTTAGTATCCGTGCTAATAGAAATTGAGGAATTTCCCAATTGGAGTTGTTGAGAACAGTTGAGCCATCGTTACTATTGTTAGCATTTCTTCTCGAGCTATTGCGTACGCAGAAACAGAAGTAGAAAAAAAACTAACGCAAAGAAATTATAACAGCATAGCACATTAATTTGGCTAATACGTTATGTGAACTGACAAACAAAACAACGGCCGGAATTTTTATCATAGGGAATTTGCTTTATACCACTGAATTTATACTACCGATATTGTCCCTTGCTATAATATATCAGTGAATTACTGTTTTATTATAGAAATAGAGAATTGCAGTTATAATAAATCATTGATTGAATAAACTCAGCACTTAACATATAATAAAATCTCTCTTTTATTAAGGGGTGAATGAAGACAACATTATACGTACTCACTCTATGTTCGTAATACTTGTCGTTTTGTAAGAGTCCGATCTCAAAACTTAAAATCTTTGATTATGGATAATTTTGAACATAGTTATCTTAGAAATATAAAAACCATATGTATGTATTAGTACTTTAATAAAGCATATATTTGTTAATTATATGTATCAGAATAGAAAATAGTGCTCAAATATGTATTTTAACTATGTTCTAAGTCTAGAAGGAGTACATTGTCAACCTGCAGGAAGTAGTATACAGTAACATGGATGTTGAGTACCGTGACATCAACAGGCTACCAAACAACTAATCGCTCTGCTAACGGGCCTTGTTTGAATGTTTCTAGTAGGTGTTGCATCTCCTGTAATATCTAGCTCCACGACCAGTCCAGATTCTCACCTAGCTTATAATAAAAATATGTAGTTACAGAATTAAAATTATAAAATAGAAGCCCGAAGCTAGAAAAACTCGGTTTTTATAGCTCCACGAACAGTCCAGATTCTCACCTAGCTTATAATAATAGCTTATAATAAAAATATGTATTTACAGAATTAAAATTATAAAATAGAAGCCCGAAGCTAGAAAAACTCGGTTTTTATAGATTCTCAAGAGCTGGTTACAATCGAGGTATTCCTCGGAATCCAGTGGTGGCCAAACGCCCTTAGATGATTGCGCGCTTATGACAAGACATTAGTCTGTCACATCATTAAGCCCCTTAATTATCTAAGAGCTTTGTGGTGATCGTATGCAATCCACTTATAAGAGCAGGTACAATAATAGCAGGTTATAAACCAGCTGCAAACATATTTTAAGAAGAAAAATGAGAAAAGAGAATGGCAGCAGGCTACAGATTTGTAACTAGCTGTAACACGGACTCCAAGACACAATGTGTGTATGACAGGTGGGACCAGGTATTAATAGTGTAGTATGTAACTATTGTATGAATGAGCTATTAAATTGGCTATAGATGAATTGAAGCTAGTAGTTGGCTATACTATTAAACTTGCTCTTAGCGTTAGTTGATTGCCTGCTTGTTGTTCCATAGAAACCAATCATAGAGCAGCGAGACATGAAATTCCCCGAGCATCGACGCTCGGCGGTAAGCATAATTAAGGGCCTGTTCACTTTGATGTCATTTTTAACCTTACCAAATTTTAGTAAAGTTGTAAAAAAAAAGGCTACATTTAGTTTGCTGCCAAATTTTGGCAACTATATAAGAAATCTTGCTAAAATTTTAGCAAGTTGCCAAAATTTTGGTAACTATGCCAAAATTTTGGCAATGCCAAAATTTGGTAAGGTTTTTTTTGGCATTAAAGTGAACAGGCCCTACAAAACCGGGTTTTTTTTTCACTAAGCTTCCCTATAGGCATAAAGCACCCCGTTGACGATGGCCAATCTCCAGTCATTGATCAACCTCTTCCCTGAACACCTCCTCGCATATTATCGAACGAGTTATGAGATATGAATTTTACAAGAGTTTTCGTAATTTTATTTTGCATGGGCCCCATTTGATTCCAAAGTATTTGGGCCTTAGATATTTAGAATTGAAGTCAAGTTGAAGACAGGGGCGCCCGTTTGGCTTGGTGGAAACAGAGAGCAAAGAATTGCAAAAGTCTACTCTGCATCCCTCAAGTATGTCCGTAATCTTTATTCGCGTCTCTCACCCACAAACAAGGTATATAGGGCCCCTCTACTCACAAAACCAAATCAGTGTACCTCCATAAATGGTTTTGATGGCACTTTCCTCTTATGTGGTGACTATGAGGCATTTTAACCTGGTAGTATTATGTTATATAGCATCTACTTGGCACGGTGGGACTCCATATGTCAGGGATACCAATGTGTCATCCACCCTCTCTTCTTCATCCTCTCTTTCTCTCTCCCGTTCATCTCTACTTCTGCTCACGCCAGCATCATCAATCCGCTCATCCACCTCCCACAAACACTCACTGCCTCCCCCTCCCCTCCCGCGTCCCACTTCTACGGTCAAAGGTGCACGTGAAAACTAGGGTGAGGACCACTTGGCAGCGACGCCCGCAGCGGTAGTCAGGGGCGGAGCTAGTATATGTTAGGGGGGTGTCTAGGAACCCGGTCAAGAAAATTTTTTAGCTATATCTCATCTATTTTTACCATGTATACACTCCCCTCAATACAAACTTAGGGCCTATTTGGCATAGCTCCAGCTCCAGCTCTAGAGCTGGAGCTCAGCCAAACAGTTTCAGCTCCACTAAAACTGGAAGTGGAGTTGAGTGGAGCTCTCTCACAAAATGTACTAGAGTTGTGGAGCTGGGTTTAGGCAGCTCCACAACTCCACTCCAGACTCAACTCCTGGAGTTAAATTTAGGAGTTGGAGCTGTACCAAACAAGCCCTTAAGCACCCGTATCAGCTTAAACTCGATCTAAAGTAGAGTAAATTAAGCAAGTGGCACCACCCTCTGTTTCGCTCTAGCTCCGCCCCTAGCGGCAGTGGTGTTCGTCAGACGTGAGCGGATTTATTGATTCGTCAATCGATTAATTCCTTAGTTTGGTCCAAGAGGGAAGTGGTCGGCGAATCCACATAAGCGGCAAGCCGGCAAGGGGAGGTAGGTGGAGCGACATCTGCCGGGTGGAGATCGGCCTCCTCTCGAGCAATTTCAAATGGTTGTTTCACCAAAAGAGCAGAGTACTGTGCACCTTGATGGTCGATTTTGGGCCAGTGAAAAGAGAGCATCCCCCATGTCTACAGGCTTGAGTTGGCCTACAATCAAAATGGTGGTCAGCGTTGGTGACATCAGCAACCCCATCTTCTGGGGTACGATCGGGTTGTGCCCACCGGCACTGGTTCTTATGGGGGCCTCCACTTCTCTAACCATTTTCTCTGTATTGAGCTTGCCAACAAGAGAGAACGACATGGTATCCCGGGTTGGCAACGATGCCCAGCGGGCGAGTAGGCGGGCAATGGCCAGGCTCGAACTCGATGGAGCCATTCTTGCTGGTCAGATCTCGAGCTTGTTTGTCACTAGTCAAGACTGACACTTATATCGCTAGATCTGCAACCACCACCACCACGCTCCTCGATGGTGGACTGCTCAACTTTCTCCGATGTGGCTCGGGCAAAGCCGGCACCCTACTCTGATTACCCTCATCATTGTTGCTTGGCTCCATCCGAACGAGATGTCGAGAGAAGGGATGGTGATTAATGGAGAGAGATAAATGAGATGGATAGGGAGGAAGATGAATAAGTACTGCTCACTGACAGGTGGGACCTAGGTCCCATTGATATGTTACTATTTTGCTTCTAGTTCCATAGAGGCTACACATAGGATGAAAAAAAGATCAACAAGCCATGTAGGCACCTTAGCTAAAACCGATGTCAATCCTAAGGAACATGATTTACAAGTTGGGGATGCTCTAGCGTAGCTAGTCCGCTGGAACTGTAACTAAGGATGCACTTTCATCAAAGAATTTGACATCAATGCATAACAGAATACGAGAAGATAAACATACAATACAACTAATTATCATATAGCTAGGTTGCCTGGCCAAATTATAATGGTTCAATGGTAAGGATGTCTACCCATCCACCGACTGGTGGTAGGCTCCTAGTTAGAACCATCCTAAAAAATCAACAATCCTACAATACTCAACCTAAACATCAACACAGCTTGTGAAGGAATCTAAAACAACAACGTACGGATCATACATAGTTTGCGTCCCAACTCCATCATACATGTAAAAAAACTAACATCAGCCTGAGTGTCTCCCATTACTAGGAAACAAATTTTTGCAAATTGGAAAAACAAATTTTGGCAACCAGACATCCACCCCTCCTACATGATATTTACAAGCGGCCACCAGCCCCGTCTGCGAAAAATCATTTTCGCAGGCGGCCTCTCCATCTTCACAATCACAATAGCCACGCTTGTGAAAATATTCTTGGCGAACAAAAAAAAAAGAAACCCGCCACCACCCCACCCGCCGCCATCCTTTCCCCTCCGGCTGCGCCGCCACCATCCCTTGTCTAGGCAGCACCACTGTCATCGCCCTTTCGCCAAATCTGGGAGGGACAGGGAGAAGGAGGGGAAGGGAGGGGAGGGGAGCCGGATCTAGGAGAGAGAGGGGAGGGACCGCACTGCCTCCTTTGTTGCTATTGCCGGCTATGGGCAGTGTCACCACTTGTTAACAACGGAATTTTGCATTAGATTCGGAGAAGAAGAAGGAGGATCGAAGCGGATTTGGTGTTGAATCGTGTTGGATTTGAAGTCGGACTACGCATCGGCTAGAGGCCGTATCGGCTAAAGACAGAGCATAAGATTGATCAAGGTTGATAGGGTTGATGGCCGATACAGCCGATACGACATGACTTGGGCTCGGCATGGGCCTAGATTGGAATAACCGCCATCGCCAATTAGAGATAGAGCTCGGATAAGGCAATTGTATCTA